GCCCGCGCCTCCCCTCGGGGGCGCCCTGCTTTTCGCCCTGCGCTACCGCGTGACGGGCCACGAGTTCTGGGACAACAACGGCGGCCGTGACTATGCTCTACGTGGGCCCGAGCACCCCGGCAGCGGTGGAACCCCGGAGCCTCAGGGCTGGATCCACTTTATTTGAGACGCCTGCGGCCGACTGCGAAGGCACCCGGGGGCTGGGGGAGCCCGAAGATTTGGCGGGGAGGAGCGGGGGAAGCCGAATTTGGCCGGGAGTTGTCCAAGGGAGTCAAGTGGGGAAGAAATCAAAGGGGTGCGGAAATGGGAAGAATCAAAGTTGGGGAGATAGGGTGGAAAACACCAGTTGGATGTGAGTAAAAGGAACCCAAGGCATTAAGGAAAGGAGCCCGGAAAGGGTGCTGAAAGCATTAGAAAAAAAGCAAAACAATAGTGATGCTGATGACGTTCTCTTCCGTGAGTGGGCGCTGGGAGAGTTTGTCGGGCCTAAGCAGTCAAAGGTTAAGGTACCTCTCTGGGATTGAGGACGTATTTTGTATGAAGTCATCTGGCTCATTCCCTTTCCCCCCAGGTTTGCCACCTCAGGACCCCCAACCCTGCCCATCCCAGCTTTAATTCAGCCGTAATTGCCTTGTTAAAGTTCTAGGAACTTGGCCATTGCTCCCTGACCCTGGCATCATGATGGGATGCCCTTGTCACCCCTGATTGTCCCTGGCTTCAGTCTCAGAATTGGCTGGAGAGTGATGGCAGGTCGCAGTCAGAGCCCCTTCCTCCAGCCTCCTGACAGCCCTCGGGGTTAAAATGAAGGCAAAACCAACTCCAGGCCTGTCCTTGCAGCCAAATCATGCAGCGCCTAAAGGGCTGATACACTCAGGGGCTTCCCGGGAAATGCCCGTTTTACCTTTCTGGGGTGCCTTCTAATGACCTATAAGCACTTTATGGACTGTATTTGTCAAGGGACAGTGAATCCCAAGAATCACTAATTTGCTTCTGCTTCAGAAGACAAGGAAGTCACTGACTAGCTATATAACTTTGGACAAGTTCCTTCACCTCTCTGAGGCCCAGTTTCCTCCTTGGGAAATTTGATATGGATTAGGTGATCTCTTACGGATCCTTGCTTTGACATTTTATGATCTGTGAGTGGCACAGTATAGATGAGGAGCCACATTCTCCAACCTACAGTTGGAGAGCTACAGTTCAGAACACACAGAGCCCCTAGCATCTGATTGGGGCTGAGGATAGGTCTTCCACAGCCCAGGAAACATCCCCAAGCCAGCCTGCAACCTCAGTATTCAGCCTCTCAAACCACAGCCCATCCTCTGCCCTTGCTTTTTGCTCTGGCCCCAGCCTGGGTTCTCTGAGATAGCTTTGAAGAGGTGCATCTCTCTTGGGGAAAGTGATGCTTGGAGGTCCCAAAGATGAAAGGAAACAACATTGGGGGCTCTCTTGAGGAGAAAGGATTATGGGCATAAGAAAGGGAGAGCATTTCAAATTAAGAATCAAAACAACTTGAAAATTAAATGGCTCCAGAAGATGGCAGTCTGCTCCATATTTTGAGCAAGTGAAGTAGGAGAGCTGGACTTTGGCCCACTCATGTTTATGCCTTATATTTTTCCTGGTTAACCTCCGCTGGTTATTTTTCTTTTCCTCTTACTCTGTTCCTAAGCTCTTTGCTTTTCTTTTTTCCTGTCACTTCCTCATCACTTTCACTTTTCTTTTAGCATGTAGGGCATCTGCCTTCATTATCTCTATTTCCATTTGTCTCCCTCTCATCCTTATTCACCTGTGCTATTCCTTCTCCCTACAGAAGGGGTGGAAAACCTACTTTTTCTCCAAGACCATGGTTGACCCACCTTCCTCCCTCAGGCTCTTTCTTGACAGTCTTCTAGAAGGGAGAAGAGTGAAAAGAAGCAGTTCCTGATGCAGATGAACAAGGAGCTCCCAGGTAACCAGTTCCCCCTCCCCTTTTCTATCTGTTACTGATTTCTCAAAGAAAATTTCCCGCAGCCCCTTTTTCCTTGTCAGTAAAGGAGACAGTGCATGGGCATGTACCTGTACCTGCATTTGGAATACAGTATAGGGCTTTTTACCATGCCCCTCCCGTCTAAAGCCTTAATCCTTTGAAGAAAGATGGCTGAAAGAGAGGGACCCTGAGTCATTCCTCAAACAAATGCCCCTTTAAATATCATCCTTCTGGTGAAGAAAAAAATTTCATGCACCTTATGGATCATCTTCAGGCCAAAGTTCCAGCAGAGTGAAGAGAGAAACTACTGGAAGCCACCAAACAATGCACTTATTAGTCATCAGTGAAGAGCCCAAGGGAGGATAATGGAGGGAGATTGGGTTGAGGCTCAGTGTGTAGTAATCTCTTGCTTAACATGTATGCATTACTGTTATGTTGTATTAACAATTGTAATAGTACACATTTACTTATCCACTAAAATCTGGTGTCTTGCATGCATTATAATATTACCCTGTTTTAGAGATAGGAAACTCTAAAACAGTAATTTGTTCAAGATTACATAGGTAGTGAATGCAGAGCTAGGATTATGAACCCAGGAAATCTCCAGAGCCTCTGTGCGTAATTGTGATGTTTTTTCCTTTAAAAACAATTTTTTCTTATTAGGAAAAAAAATGCGGTTTCTAATTGTGCTCTGCCTTCCCATCCTCTCAGTCTCCTGAACTGGCTTGGAGAAGGCAAAGCACTGAGGGTCCCACATTTCATCCCCTTCCAGGAGCGTGCTGCTGTCTCCTATGCTAGTGTCCCAGCTCTGCGGGATCAGCAAGGGACTAACCCACCTGCCTGCTAGAGAACTTGGAATCCATTTGAACCCATACCATGGGATTCTCCCCTGATCCTAGCCAACCCTCCATACCTGTTGGTGTGCCACACCCTTTTACACTCCTACCACTAGCTTTGAACAGGCCAGTTGCCTAAACTTGCTGCTAGAAGGATCCCTGACGAAGACATTGCTGGATGCTCTGTGTGCTTGGGCCCTCTCTCAGAGTCCTGGTATTAGTGGATAAATGCGAGCTGGTTGGGCGCAGGGAACCAAGGGTAATCCATTGTTTGTAAGAAGTTACTGGCCCCATTCTCAGCTTTATAGACCCAGCACACTAGTCTTCTGGTTCTTCCCATATAGAGCTGCCCCAGGGCCTGGGGGTAAGCTGCTACGACTCAGGAAACACTATGAGTGTTAGGCATTGTGGTGGGGACTTTCCTCTAAAGCAGCGGTTCTCAACCTGTGGGTCGCGAACAATGAAAACACATCCTGCATATCAGATATTTACATTACGATTCATAACAGTAGCAACATTACAGTTATGAAGTAGCAACAAAAATAATTTTATGGTTGGGGGTCACCACAACATGAGGAACTGTATTAAAGGGTCGCGTCATTAGGAAGGTTGAGAACCACCGCAAGGTTGATGACTATGTGAACAGGAGCAATTTACAGTATAATATATCAGCTGTGGACTAGAAAGTACCAGAAGAGAAACTATTACCAAAGTCAGGGGCTTGGGTCCTTGAAGCAACACAGCAGGAACACTGTTGCCTTTTTCTCTCATCCAGACGTCAGATGTCTCATAGCCTTCCTTCTTTATCGTTACGAATGTAGGTCATCATTTCTCTTCATAATAAGCCCTAATTCCTCAGCTTTCCAATCTAACTCCCACATCCCTTGCTTCTAACTCCTGTGTTTCTCTGGAGCTCCTCTGGATCCTTGTATTCCATGGGTCATAGAATCAGAGACCTGTGACAAAAGGCTTGTCTTTAGAGATCATTGGGTCCTGGCTCCTATACAGATGGGGACATGGATCCAGAGATGAAAAGTGACTCCCGCAGGGTCAAAGAATTTTTTTTTATTTTTTTTTTTAGTACAGCTCAAGATGGGGCTTAAACCCAGGCCTCTTGACTACATCCCATTCCCAGGCTATGAAACAGGCTTCTGCACAATCAGACCCACAGTTTTTCATGGCAAGGGATATCAGAAATGTTTCATTTTCTGCTACTAGTTTCCATTCTCTTCCCCATCCAGGCATAAAGAGAAACAAGAGGAACTGATAGTTTTCTCTATGTCCCCATCTGTGGCACTTCTTTTGCTGATATCACTAAAGTTGCTACAAAGATTGCATAATGTACCCATTGAGTAGCTAACCTGGATAGGAAAGGAAAGTTTGCCCTGTGAATTCACCACAAACTACTGTTCTCATCAGGCCCAGAGTCTTCCCACTCCTTCATAGTGCAGCCCTAGTCACTGGGCCCCAAACCCACTAGTATTGTGCCTCACTGCAGCTTCCTCATGCACCAGCTCTCCCTTCTGGATAAAAGACCTCATGTTTGAAATAAAGTTGAAATGTGAAAAGAATATATCATCAGATATTGAGAAGTATTGTTTGTTTTTTGGCCAAGAACAGCAAGAGACCCAGAGGCAAGTTTCCTGGTCATCTCATTTCGTAAAAGTCCTATTCCCTGTCTACTAGAGTCCTCTGCCTATGCAAAAGTTGGGTGGGAAGGAGTTGGGCACCCAGGTATATGACTCCCTATTAAACGATCCCACCACCATTGGAGCAGTGATAAAAGTTATCAGGGCCCAGTGCTTTAGTTTCCTGGCAGGTAGCACCAGCTGCTGGTGCATTAAAGGGAGCTTGGGTAGAAGTCCCGTGTTTCCCCTTGGGTGGAGGATGTTTTCCTTAAGGGGACAATCCAAGTTACATCCTGCTTCTTAAGCACTGGAGAGAAGAGCAAAGCCCTTTTCCCTACCAAGGGAAACCCTAAAGCCAAAGATGAGAAATATGAGAGGGAGGAGAAGCAAGGCCCTCTGTCTAAAACAGAATGGAGCGACAGAAATTGATGTTAAAGGGAGGCATCCTTGAAAAATGTCAAGTTCTAGCGTAGTACTGTCTCCACATCACCTGAAGGATGAGAAATCCAGTTACCCATAAAGCTCTAGTGTGAGAATAATCAGATGCCTCCTCGTTACATCATAATAGCCAAACTGTGATGTCACTGCAGAGTATCCACTCTGGTACGTTATAAGTGAAACTACATATGCTGAAGAGGAGTCAGCATGAGGAGCAGACATCCAAGGAGAGGTAGGTGGGGGCTTTCCAGGGCTTCACGCCATGGCTTACGGCCTAGGGTCCCTCTGTGGCATCAGCCTGTGTTCCAGAATTGTTGACATTAGGAGTATTCCTGGAAACTGTATGTATTAGTTTTCTAGGGCTGCCGTAACAATACTACAGACTGGGTGACTTAACAGAAATTCAATTTTAGAAGTTTGAGATCAAGGTGTCAGCAGGGTTGGTTTCATTGAAGTTCCTCTGTCCTTCGCTTATAGGTGGCTATTTTCTTACTATGTCTTCACATGGTCTTTCCTATGTGCATGTTTGTGTCCGAATTTCTTATCATAAGGACACCGGTCATGTTGGTTTAGGACTCCCCTCAGACCTCATTTTAACTTAATTACCTCTTTATAGACCTTATCTCTGAAAACATTATGAGGTACTGGGAGTTAGGACTTTAACATAAGAATTTTGGGGGAGGGGGACACAATTCAAGCCATAACACTATACCTACTATTTACTCACAGAAGTAATTGCAAACCACAGATGTGACCCTAAAAAACCCAGACTAAATGTATCCCTAACAATTTAGCCAATCCCCAAATGCCCAAGGCCCTTCCACTTATACCTGATGGAATGCAAAGTATGGTGGAAGGAAAGTCAAAGGAAAGAGATATCAATCTTAACCAATCGTTATGCTGGCAGGCACCCAGGGAATCCTCAAGCTGATATGGGGTCCAGGTTCTTGTCACAGGAGAAGAAATAATTCAAGTGTTACATTTAGCAAAGCATACTACATTTCTTCATGTGATAGTGTGCACTGAGAAGTGGGAGCAGGTGACCTCAGAGAACAAAATGTCCCAATGGAGTCTTGGTGGGAGTTTTTGGGTTTTTTTTAAATAATAGATTTAAAAATATATATTATTAGGTAGAAAGGAAGGGAGAGAGAGAGAAACATTGATGGGCTGCTTCCTACTGGGAGTCGAGTCTGAAATCCAGATATGTGCCCTGACCGGGAATCAATCTATCCGTGACCTCTTGGTGCATGGAAGGACACTCAATTCACTGAACCACACCAGCCAGCCCCAGCCGGGCTTCATGGAAGGGTTTTATTAAATACTAGTGTCCCGGTGCATGAATTCATGCACATTGAAAGGAAATTAATTAGAAGAAATATTTTAATATTGGTATTCCCCCTTTATAATTGAAGTGTCAACCAAATTCACGATCCACAATGACAGATAGAAACACACACATAATTGGCGCCAGTGAGAACTTTATATGTGTCGCACATGCGTGAGTCAACTTAGCCTATATGCTAAGTGTCCTTCCCACCTTCTGCCTGGTCGCTATGACGACTTGCTTTATAGCCAGGTAGAAACACTTTACACTGTAACCAAATGTCTGTGAAGCGTTTTCCCATGCCTCATCTCATTAGATCCTCACAGAAGTCCTGGAGTAGGTAGATAGGAGACTCTCTGACA